CGATTTAAACGGTTTGGTTTAAAAATCTGTCAAAAATCGATAAAATCGGACCGCTTACACCCCTAAATCAACTACATAAAGATTTTGGAATTCATTATTTCAAGTAAAGATTCTTGACCCGTAATGTATGATTATGAATGCTACGAATTCTTACAGGCTAAGTACCTCGAATCATCAAGATTAAACCAAAGCTTACTCAATAACGTTAACGCCCCGATTTTTCCCGCTATGGATCATGTGCCATCCCCAAGGAGTAGAACTTTGTCAGTTCAGAACCACAAGCAATGGCACAATAGGTAGCCTTTCCCCCACCTCCACCATGTCTGCCTCACTTTGCCCCCTTCCCTCACAGCCCGCCTACCTCCCTCTCGGTCTCACCCCTCACCCTCTCCACTGGCATTGAATAAGAAATCTCAACCATATTCTCTCCAGTCCGTCCAACCCTCTTCACTCTCCCTTCCACCACCCTCTTCTCCTTTACCCTTATGGTTCCCCCTAGGCACCAGTGATGAAGAGTGCTGCCTAGAGCTCATTGGACTACTCTCCCTCGTCTCCTTCGAAGTATGATCACGTCCCTGAAAAAATCCCCCGTCCATCCTTACCCGTTCCTTCCACCCTTCAAGGGTAGAAAACGAAAATAGTATTCATGCAAACTTTCGTGTTGAAATAGCAAATTCAGCTCCTACATTTTTTCATCGTTAATAATTTTAGTACCTCTTTCCTGGTGCTGTAATATTCATTAGCACACGGACATCCAGATCAATCTGGTCGACAGTCCCCTTTGTACTTCAATGATGGAGATTTAAATTACAAAAAGATGGCCTATAATTCTATATATTTAAGAGAAGTAACGCATCAGTTTGGGCTCTTCGTTGGTAGATTATGGAAAACTTTAATTCTAAATATCATTTGGAATTTGACGGACAGTACACGAATAATAAATTATTAATATAATAGTGATTAAAATCAAGAATTATATAATATTAGTAAATTATTACATTAATTAAGTTAAGTCCATTGATTAAGTTATTGTTGGGTGTAAGTTAGTTGAGCTGATTTGAATAATAAGCTACAAATTGTATTTGAATTTTTGTCAAACATTTACTTAAATTATTAACAAGTCAACTATAAATAACTGCAGTAGACTTGAAAATAAAAATATTGAAAACATAAGAATGACCAAGAAAAGGCAGATAAATTTATAATCAGCAAAGAGGTATATTCAAGAAAACATATAGTAAGTACAAGATTTCATCCCCACCAAAAATTGGGAGATAGTTTTTTTCTAACATTTATTTAAATATAGATGACGAAATTTAATCAAACGAAAGCACCACTAACTTACGTTGTGATTCCATTTGTATATAAAAGAAGATATATATATACTAATCCCATATGGAATAGTAATCAATATCATCATCACCAGGTTCCTCCAGCTGATTGCTTCCATGTGGCTCTCCCACGAGTAGTGCACATTCCAACTCCATCCACATTTTAGGCGATTCCAGTGGTGACTCGTTAATAGCTTGAATCTGACTCGGCGACAGCCCCACCCTTAAAGGTACCACGCCACCACCCTCAGCCTCCTGTCCCGGCCTCTTAAACCGCATCGCAGCCTGTTGAGCCGCCAATTGAACATCCTCTGCATTAGAACTCACTGGCTTGGGAAAACTGTTTGACAATTCCGGGAAGTTGAGCCGCGCATTGGAGCCTTTCAAGTGCAATGCCGCCACGTCGTAGGCGGCTGCCGCCATTTCAGCCGATTCATAGCTTCCTAACCATATTCGGGTTTTTTTACCGGGCTGGCGAATTTCAGACACCCATTTTCCCCATTTTCGTTTTCTAACTCCTATGTACGCTGGTACTGTTTCCTGCTCGTTCATTTCTGGGTTTTTAGTCAGCTTAGTTTGGATTACATATATAGAAAGTGTAGGGGGGAGAGAGAGAGAGAGAGAGTATGGGCATGTTGTTGTTAGATGAAATGAGGTTCCACGTAGTTGCATGAGAGTGGATTGCAGTTGTATTATATGAAATGACCATGGCGTGTTGTCGTTAGATGAAATTTTTATTTTATTTTCCAATTTATTTTTAAAACACTTCATTTTAATATTAAATAAAAAATAAGAGTTGGGGCAGGTTTGGAAATTTTCATCCAAAGACCATAAATATTTTTATTCCTCATTTTGTGTAAGTTATAAATTTTGGGTTGAGACAATAAGGCACGTGACATTAGTCATACCATTAAACTATACGTATTAGGATTCAGACAACTTATTTTTATATTTTAAACTTGATTACAAATTAAGCTCCCTTTTGATAATCTTTAATTTAATTTAATTTTTGCTACATAATCATTTTCAATAAAATATTTTACATGTAAATTCATAACTTTTCCATCGTCTTCAACTACACATTCTTCAAAAATTACTTTTCAAAACTATTTTTTTTTTTTTTTCATTTTTAAGGCCATCAAACATGGGCTAAAAAGTAAATTGCTATCCGTCCACTCTAAATGAGGTATTTATTGTTTGGTGGTCTTTTTTGTTTATTTTTTGAAAAATTTATTTTGAATAGCGAATTTTTGCAAAATGTATTATTAAAAAGTATGAAAAAAATTGGATTTATATGTAGAATATTTTATTGTTTGAATGTGTTGTTAAAAATAAGTACCTAAAAAAATAAAATTGAAAGAATGGAATCATTAATATAATTTAATGTACTAATATTTGAATGATATCATAGTGACGTGACTATACACCAAAGTTTTCACCTTGTCAAAATTGTACTATTTCTTACAGCTGGATCTTGCTTGGTTTCCATAATTGATAATTCCATCTCAGTACGTCTGTCCACCGATAAGTCATTTTTTTTTCCTTAGTAATTTATATATTTTTAATTAACCCAGCTTCATTATTTGGAAAAATTAATTTTGAAATAGTGTTTTTTGAAGTATGTGGGGTTAAAAAGTAAAGAGAATTTTTAGATTTATATATAATATTATTTTATTGATAGAATATATAATTGATAAGAGGATATAAAAAAAAATTAAAATTTAATGGGGGCGCTAAGTCATTTGTGAGTGTGAAAACTAGAAAGATTTGGTTCATTTATTTTGAACACCGGCAGCCTCCACAGACCACAGGTTGACTGAGAAAAGAGAAACTCTAAGCCCCGTACAAATGATTGGATACCTGATACCCGTGTCCAAAAACATATTTGCCGGTGCCGTACATTAAGGTAATCTCAAATTATTTATTTTGCTATAGGTACACTTCTAACATTTTTGTGTTTGATTTTAGTAACACTTTCATAGCACAGATTTTGACAATACATAAAATGTCAATAAAGATTTATCAAGGAATGTACAAATAGTATAATTCAATTATTTATAAAACTTCATTTCCATATAATTTTTAAAATTTTTAACTTTTAATTTGAGTCGATTCGTCTCGTTTTGTGCTCATGATGAGTCCAACAAGGTAGTTTGCACGAGAGCTTGTCGGCTTGCAAATCAAGATTTTGACATTAAGCAGGGGTACCATCAATTTAGGCTCATCTAGGTGGCCCTTACGTCGACTCAGATTCATAGCCGCCTAACCAATTATTTAGTGACTCCAATACTCTTACCTACAATTTTTCTCTGGCCAACAATGTTTTCAAATCCGAAAAATGTTGGTACTATCGAATTGACAGACATTGAGCCTAATGATGATTTTGGAAGAAGCGATCTTTACAAAGAGCCAAAATAATGGAAAAGTTTGTAAGCCTACTTTTGAATATTGGAAATATTTCACGAAAAAGAAGACAAATGAGAAGGTGGAGCATATTACAAAAGCATATCACAATTATTGTGGAAAGGACTTCGCTTATAAATAACATCAAAGTATTACAAAAAATGCCCTTGCTCGACAATATATAAGCTCAATTTCAATTTCGATCAAATCAAGAGCACCTTCTGAAGCAACGCTTGCAAAGTGGGTTTATAATCTACAAATAACATGGGAATGTTCATAGTCAGTGTCGAGTTATCACTGTCCACATTAGAAAAGCGTACACTTTATTGAATTCATATAAATATGACTTTAACTTAGGTACAAACTTACTAGTAGACATACTCTTCGTTATTATGCTATGAATTTATATTGTATTAGAATTTATACTAATTATTAATGATTTAAGAAATAATAATGTAGTCATTTCATTTACTTATTATTTATGGTCCGAAAAAAAAAAAAAAACCATGAAGGATCTATTTGAGCTACAACCCAACTCTGTAATTTTGATGTGATGCTTTTTCACGTGCGTTGTGTTTGTCATATTTATCATTAATTACACAACATGGCCTTATGTATATTGCACGACAATTGAAAAATTGAGACAGGCAATTGCTTTTATATCTATCTCTCAATCTTGCAACAAGCATTTGAGAGTGTATATGCAAATTATAACATAACCGATAGGATGTTTATGACGGATATAGATACATCTGACACTTTGCATATCTCAAGATACAATCTTGTGTTATTTATGATATGGTTGTTACTAAATTTTATAACTTAGGCATTCATCTGGTTCTAATGCATGCGGGAACTTTTACTATCAAATTGCTCCTATTTTTCTAACTCATTTTTTAATATTGGAAATTTTCCAGTAAATACAGAAATTGTTCATTTTTATAGTATTATTGATATCATGGAGAAGAAATTCCAAAAATATTAGGAGGGCTTGCCTATGTTATTCCCTCTAGCTGCGGCTATAGACTCTCATATTAATTTACATGATTGTGAAGGTATTTATTGAAAAATTTCTTCGAACTTAGAATTTAATATCTAGTGATATAGATAGTATTTTATGTAATTTATATTCTTGATATGCTGCCAAACACGACACAAAAAATGATCCACCACCACAATCTTCGGCAATAGATCCGCAGATGGATCAAGCGCGACAAGGACGTCGCGAGTCTAACGGGGGGTGATTGTAATACCCCAGACCAAGAAAGTTTAAGAGATTTGATAGATACTACTCATATCACAAGGTGCACCTTCTTTTCTGAAAATTCATCGTTAAAAACTCCACAGTTAAGCGTGCTTGGCTTGGAGCAATTCTATGATGGGTGACCCCCTGGGAAGTTTTCTCGGGGAGCGTGCGAGTGAGGACAAAGCATGCTGAAAAGACTCATGTTGGTACAGTGAGGACAGTACGTCGTCGATCTAACGGCCAGGACAGCCCGTTAAGTGGGACCCGGGTCGTTACATCTTCTCATTTTTCTTCTAGTACAAGTACTAAATGAAATGAAATATATTGTTCATACCATATTCATAACGTGCTAAAGAAGAGATGAATAATTTTGATCTTCTCAAATAGTTATGAACAAATGAAAAACGATATTAGATATTGTATTTGATGACACGTGATCTCCAACACTTCCGGTATCAACTGTAGTATCAAATGTTGCATTTAACGCTGGGGGTAGGTAGCGTTATATTGGGTAAAAGACTACTCATTATTATTCACATTTTCGTGATTTTCACAACTATTCTTCTTATGAAGTTCCTAAAATGTTACTAATAATCAATCTTGAATCAAGATATAATTGGGAAGTGGTTGAGTAAAATGTTACTTCTTTGTGCCCTGGGTGCTNGTAGCTCTTGTTGCTGAGTGAATAACCGGTCTTTTCATGTCCACTGTGCTCGAAAGGTTATGAATCGATTTACAAGTCCAATCCCAATGTCTTGATTTCGACTGGAAGGCGACATCCCCATGGTTTCGAGGGGCACAAACTGTCCACCTATTTCTGCAGTGGGGGCACGCTACAAGAGCGTAGGTGAGTGATAAGCGTAGGAGGAGTGCCCAAAGGTTAGAGACAGCAGTGTGGTTCCACATGCCGTCGCCAAATTGAGATCTGCAGGGTTCTTCCCCAAAGCTTCCAAGTCCTTGCTAACTTGTGAATTCATTGATTTATATATATAGAATTTGTGTTCGATTTTGCTTAAAAATAAGTTATAATGTTTGTGTGTGTGTGTGTGTGTGTGTGTGTATTTATATATATTAAACCCCTGTTTGGTGGGATTGAATTATGATTTTTAGTAAATTTTGATAAAAAAAAATTGATGAAATATATTGTTAAAAAGTTGTGGGTCCCATGAGATGTGTGGTTAAAATTAATTGTTGACTTTGATTTAGATTAAAATCTGAATTTTAATTTAGATAAAACAGAGACTAAATGTCACATCAAGTGAGAATCTTTTTTTTTTTCTAATTATAACCATACTATAATTCAATTATTTCAATAGCATCTTAATTTTCGTTTTCAATATTTAATAAATACTACAAAAATTTTGCCGTGTTTGAATTTCGTGTTATTAATTATCAATTAATTAATATTGACATTAATCTAGACTCTGTGAATCTTAATCTACATTAATTTAGAGTTATTATGGATGAATTTATTTTCTATTCATGTATCTAGAAATTTTAATAGATGTTTAAATTCATATATTAGCAATTAATTCTTATGTATCAAATGTAATATAAAAAGGTTTTTCATTTGTAATATTTCATCATCACAAAATAAAAATTAAATCATAGAAATTGAGTTTTTAGAGTACAATTTTATTTTCTTAAATTTCTATCCTAATTTTTTTTTTTTTTTAAAGTTCATTAACTCATCAAATCCTTCCAACAAATTTGTATCAAATATTACTTTTGCAACACTTATAAAGTATTACAGAATAATGTGCAATACACGTTCACCCCTGATGGATCTCCTAAGCACTGATGTTTAGCTTATACTAAGCACTCGAGTGTCTCTCACCATTTATTATAGTATGTCATGTTACCCGAATGCTTATCATAAACTAAATACCAATGCTTGAAAGAT